GTTGCTGAGTTGAAGTGTGCAAGTCCACGTGAGGTGGCCTCCACTCACTCCAGAAACTGCTGCTGTGCAAGTGTTCCACATGTGCAAAAGAATCTGGAAATCTGGACTTGTATGAAGAAAGCATCCAATTTCTAAATTTAGAGGACTAATTTAAAACTTGAGAAGCAAAACACAAGAAACAATAACTGTCCAGGCAAACACAGTAGGTCCAAACAAAACAGGCCTGCAGCCCCCGTGTATCAGTATAAACTCTCAGGTACATGCAATAGGGCCAGGCCGCCCCAGGCTCGGAGAGCTGCTCGCCCCACCAAGCTCCCACACACGGGTGCACAGACAAGGTAGACCAGCTCTGTGCAAGACAGAAAAACCAAAGCACAGTCTGTTCCTCTTCTGGTGGTTCGCTTTGTGGTTGGAAAATTCTTTGAGGCTGAAAACACACCATCTTCAACCTCAAGAGTTTTCAAAAACCAGGAAATTCCAAAGTCAAGGTTCCTTTTGCAGTAATCACACATGCTGTTTCTTTGATTTGGGCACACTCAGCCTTTCTTTCCATTTTGTTCAAGGCATACCTTAAAGTTCATAGGATGTGAAACAGCCTGGCAATACGGCCTCTTGTAGACTCCTGCCTCCTTAATATTCCGACTTAGCATTTCCTTTTCAGAGAGCTCTCAGTTCTCACTTTTTTTTTTTTTTTTTTGAGACAGAGTCCCTGTTACCCAAGCTAGAGTGCAGTGGTGTCAGCCTAAACTTATAGCAACCTCCAACTCCTGGGTTCAGGTGATCCTCCTGCCTCAACCTCCCACATAGCTGGGACTATAGACATCTGCCACAACACTTGGCTAATTGGGGTGGGTTTATTTTTTTCTATTTTTAGTAGACACAGGGTCTCACTATTGCTTTAGGCTGGTCTCAAACTCCTGAGCTCAAGCAATCATCCTGCCTCAGCCTCCCAGAGCGCTAGGATTACAGGTGCGAGCCACCACACCTGGACTCAGTTCTCATACTCATTTGGTTCATTTTGAAATTCGGTACAAAATATGGCCAATGAAAGCTTACTTATAAGAAAGAAAAATATTGTCAGTAATTTAGACTAACATTGTGTAGGTTAAGGATTTAAGGATATAGAAATTTGGAGAAGAGTCTCAATAATAATGTAAAATAATCATATTCATATCATATATAAATGTCTCTTCTCTGAGCAGAAGGGATTTGGGACATCAACCTGCCTACCATTTGTGTCACCCCCCCACAGAAGGAGCAAGCACAGGGTCAGCTCCTGTCTCCCAGCCCCAGCTCTGCTTACAAATCATTGAGTCTCACTGTTGGCACCTCCTGCCCCGTCTTCCTGGATGAGAGGGACCCAGCCCTCTCCCATCCCCCAGCCCTCAGCCTCGCTAAGCCTCTCTCCTGTGTACAAGGCCCAGTTCATGCCAGTTCCAGGTCTCTCCTTCCAAGTACTCCCGTCCCCTCTGCCTCCTTCCATCTTCTCATTCACTAGGCATTCAAACAGCTGCTACTGGTCCATCCCATGAAGTATCTTTTCAAATTCTCTTTCCTCAACCCTCCCTAAGGGTTGGATAATATCTTATACATCTCAATGGCTTCCACAGATGTTACATATAGCAGTTGCTCAATAAATACTTTTAACTCACTGATATAATTATAGCTATAATATGAAAAATCTAAGACAATGAGATTCCCTTTTCCCCTAAAATGTTCCACTGGACGTTCTTGGTTTGCCGAGTCAGCTGAGCAGGAATGAGAACTGTCCTGCCCTGGGTAACACTCCACTGTTTTGCTGTCAAATCACAACTGCTCTTTACATAGGATCACACAGGTGAAGAAGAACGTTCAGGCCAGTTGCCCTTACACTTGTCCTTCACAGGCTTCTACCTGTTACCAGTTCTTGTGAAACACAGAAGCTCAGGTTCAAATCCTGGTCGCGTCACCTAGAAGCTAGAAAATCTTGGGAGAATCACTTAATGTCTCTGAACCTCAGTATCTTCATCTTTAAAATGTGGCTAACTTGAAGGATTATCATAAATGAGACAAAATTAACATCAAAATGTCTGAAGCATAGGAGGAAGAGAAGGAGCCAGTGGGAGGAAGGAGAAGGTAGTGTAGGAGGATTTCCTAATTTTTCTTTTCCTTTCATATTTCTTCTGGAGGTTGAAAATGTCCCATTGGCAGCTCCCAGTAGAGGTTGGGAAGCCCTTTTTCTGAATGCAGTGAGCAGAAAATATCCCCTTCTGTCAGTCTGGGATGACTGGAGTATCTACCCAGGCTTGTCCTCCAGCAGCGGGATGAGCTCCCACAGATCCCACAGAGGCAGTGATCTTTTTGACTTTTATCCAAGAATGGTTCCTGGCATGTCTTAGACACTTGGGAATATCTGTGTGTTGAATGCCCCTCTCCAAGCCCAAGGCCACTCACATGCACACTCACCTCTTGGACTTCCCTACCATGGCACTCCACTGGGCCACTGGTTCCGCCCCTCATTTTTACCCCATAGGATTCTGCAACTGACCTTAAAAGTAACACTTGTCTCTGAGGCTATGACAGCACTCCGGGGCGTTATCCATAAGAAGAGAGGAGAGGGAGATGGGAGGCTGCCCTGGGCACACTCAGGCACCAGCGCCGGCCCCCACCAGCCAGCACTATGGTCCTGGGGTGACACAGGTGACAACTCAGTGGCTGTAACTTGCAAACTAATAGAATATGGGAGGGAGCCAGCTGTCAGGATTTCTCTGACCACACACATGGGAAAAAATACTTTCTAGAAACAGGCTTTTATTTGAGCAAAGCTAAGCAATAATATGCTTTTTCTTTCCTGGAGAGATGTAAAGACCTATTCTAAAACTTGTCTGCACTTCAGTTTTATAGTGCTACTCGGTGAGGGAGAAATCTGCCAAACAATCTATCCAAACATTATCTTCACGATAACGGGAATAAGCTATCTTGAAGGGGCTGTAGGCTTATTTTTCTTTTTCTTTTTTTTTTCTTTTTTATTGAATGGTAACTGTGTACATTAATGCACTTCTGGGGTACAGTGTGGTGTTTTCACACACAATCCGAAACACTTCCATCAAACTGGTTAACATAGCCTCCATGGCTTATTTTTCTTTCAAAAACAAAGGACAGGAGACCAGTAAACAGCAACAACAAAGAGGAATGATTCCATATAACGTGCCCAGCCCTGGTTCAGGCAGAGCAGGGGAAGAGCTCTGTGTCACCTGCCTGGCACCCACATAAAGACTCACCAAGGACCGATCTATTTGTTCATGGGTGAGTGGGGAGCACCACTTGACATGGTTTCATTTCAGAAATGCTGTCATGGCTCGGCCCCCAAGTCTGATCCCTCCCTGCGGCGACAGTATCCACCACACTTGGGATGTACATCCCTGACCCAACGCTGCACTGTTCTCACCCACAAACCAAACTGGGTGACTTCTGGCAGGACTGACTGAAGGAGGAGGGATGAGAGACTTATCTTTACTCAATGCTTTTCTGAATTGTTTTAAATGTATTACAAATAGATGTTTCTTTTTCTGTTTTTTTGGAAATACAGTCTTATTTTGTCATCCTTAGTAGAGTGTTGTGGTGTCATAGCTCACAGCAACCTCCAACTCTTGGGCTCAAGCGATTCTCTTGCCTCAGCCTCCCAAGTAGC